GGTTTTCACGACTTGTGACAGAGTAGAGAGACGTATCATTTAATAAAAGAATCAAATTTCTAAGTGGTCTGGTTTCTACAAGAAACTGTGGACAAAACGTCATCGCGTCACGCTTGTGAACGTCGATATATATATTTAATTAAAGAAGAAATAATTTTCATTTTTATAAATATAAAATTAGATTTTTAAATAAATTCTTTTGTTTTTTTTTCCTTCACTTCAGTTAATATTCAAAGATAATAATTGAAATATTAGTTATGATAAATAATAATAAAAAATCATACTTGAACATTAAAAACGGTATTAAATTGCACAGCTAATTCGTGTAATTTCAATCCAAGATCAACTATATCTATATTTAATAAGTTTTTATCTTTTTCATCGTCAAAATAAGCTCGTAATAAATAACGAATATGATAAAGAATCGATGAAATTTCACATGTTAAAACTTTTCTTTTAAAATAAAAAAAAAAAAACTAAATGAATAAAAACGAAAATTTTCTATTAAAATTACTTTTCAATAATATGTTGAAGATGTTTAATTGATTGTTGTGCATTTGTTAAAGTTTTTCTCCATTTATTCATAGTATTAACTTTTTTTTCTATTAATAATTTTAAATTTAAATAATCAATAAGATTTATTTTATGATCTTCAATAGCTTCTTTAATATATAATTGAGATTCTTCAATAAAACCAAGATGATATAAGCAAACAGCTGCACGATATAAAGCTTTAAAATTTTTATCTGTTTTTAATTTTAATGAATATTTAACATCTTCATATCCTGAATAAAAATTTTTATCTTGAATATAAGCAGCTGAACGATTTAAATATAATAAATATAATGGAAGATTTTCTTTGGAATTATTTTCAATTAATTTAATTGCTTCACTGTACGATTCAATTGATAATAATGATTCATTATTTAAATAATATTTATTACCTTGATTATTATATTCTATTGCAGTTAAAGACATTATTTCGTGTTTGTTTTTTTCTTTCTTTTGTTTTATTTATTTTCTAATCGAATCAAATTTATCTAAATCTTCGATATCTTATATATGATTATAAACAAACAAATCAAAGATAAAATCATCGAATTCTATCATACACACATGGACTAGAGAATATTCTATTAGATAAAACAACTATGTATTACAGTTGACATGACAATACACTGAAATGCACTAAAAATAATTTTAAAATAATATAGAACGAAAAAACAGAACGCAATTTTTTTTTTTATTTTTAAAGCTTTGATAATGTATTCACACATATTGACTTAACTTTATATAATCGTTTGTGAATAAAGTCATATTAGACAGATTTAATAAAATATATTAATATTACACTATTTCAGTTTTACGAATAAAAAAAAAAGCAAAGAAATTTTGCTTGGTTTTTTTTATTATCGTACATTCTTTTATTTTACTGATATGAGTCATGTTATAATTAATTTTTGTTGTCTTACTCATGCTATGATGCTATAAAGACATTGTATTTATTGATTGTTCTCCAATTAATTATTATGACATTTTGAAAATATTTACGCAAATTTATTTTTGTATTTATGCTGTCTAATATGATTTATTGAAAAAGATTATAAAAAATATTTTTTATTGACTTGATGCTTATGTATTGAGGTTCACTACTGCAAAGTGTGCAATAGATAGACATAAGATATGTCGAATCTTTTAATTATTTAAGGTGATCTATCTTTTCTGTCTGATAAGACTTGTGGAAGTGGAGATTTTTAGTAAAAAACTTGAATTATATGTCAATCAACTTGATATTAAGAAAAAAACTAAATATACGATCAAGAACGGTACTTATTCAAATGTTATGAATGTTTTTAAGCAGACAATCTAAATCTGTCATTAATATTCACGTTTTTCATCGAAGAACTTTTCGCTTTGTATGCGCTTTCAAAAACCGCCATTTATATCCATTCTCTTAATAGGTACTTGAGAAAGAAATGACTTAGAACAAGAATATCACTGGTCATTCAATGGCCCCATGCCCACATCATTGAAAAAGAAATATGATGAAAACTTCTTTTTTATGTCAAGTATAAATATAAAAAATGTCTAGAGAAAAAAATTTTTTTTTCTTAAATAAAATTTAACCAATCATTTCAATGTCCTCATTTTCCCATGATTACAAAAATGTAAATTTATACTCTTTAAGAACATAAAATGCTCACTAAGAATAAATAATATTTGTAACTTAATATGGTATATAATATTTTTTCATTACAAAATTCAAAAGATGCTATTCTAATCTCAACTAGATTCAAAATTCATCTGCCACATATTCAATAACAAGCAAAACTATCGAGATCATAGATTAACTACTATTCTTGTTAACATATTAGGGTGTGGGTGTGGGTCTGGGTGGGTGTGTGAGTGTCGGTGTCGGTCTGAGATGTTGGAGTGTATTCTGATCCATACCCACCCCACAGCCACACCCCACACAATAGATTATGGCATGTTTTTGTCATTTTTTCTTCACTATGTCATAAATGTCTGAGAGTATCTCAAAACATCATTATTTCCAAGATAAATGAAATCGTAAACAATGAGAAGTGTCCATTTAATTGCAATGCACTTTTGTCTCTATCGTTAACAGCATATCAAGGAAAAATCAATATTGTTCTATAGATACAGGTTTTCGAATGATAAAAGGCGCACTAATATGCAGTTAGACGCATATATATATGTATACCGAAGAAGTAAAAAGAGCAGAGAGAAAATAGAATTGATTGGATTGCACTATTATGCATATTTCAATAATTCTGTTACTTTTGTTCAACATGTATATCGATGTTCATGGACAAAACCCTTTCTTCAATGGTCAAGTAACGATTAATAACAATGTCTCTCACCTGTCTTAGTGAACTCTAATAGCAGATTGTCGTTCAATAGTGACCAAAGCTTTATTGAAAATCGTATTGAAACCACTCTGATTGATGCTGCACCACACCCGAACGATTCAATTAGACGACGTCGAAAAACGGATCAGCAGAAAAATGAGAATTCAAATGAGTTTTACTGAATGAATTTTTATTATACTTAAAACGATGTTACTGTAGTTTTTCGTCACAAACCTACAATGCATTCAACTGTTTAACAAATTTTTCAAGAATCAGACCAGAACGCATACAAGGGATTTCACATCCTCTTCGTGGATCATACACCATTTCCTGAACACTATTCAACATTCGACACTCTACGAGAATATATTTCGGCTCTTAATCGACATTGAGAACTATCAAAAAACGGACGACGTCAAATGCTCATCAGTAACTATGGAGCTACCATTCTTGGCGAATATTGGCTAATCAATTCAATGTATGTCGATAAGTCAGTAGAGACTGCAAAACGATTTGCACAAGGACAACAACAAAACTACATTCTCATTCATCCTGATCAGAAGCGAGGTGGTGTATGGAGATCGGACGATGTGAGTGTGGCACGTATGGCGGTCGGGAATCGATTGGCTCTATGAAGCACAGCTATCTTTGAAGAATATTCAAAAATGTGTAGCTGTGATACATTCAGGCGTATGCAAGAGTCACATTGCTTTCAATTCACCCAATCGAACAAACTTCACAGGAGATTGTGTGAATGGAGATCAATCATGTTCAAATGTGAGCACAAAATTCTGCACTATATGATCCTGAAGACGACTGCAGTGCACATGAAATGTCCATAGCTGCCATCATTTCAGGAAACTCGAATAATGGTGATTCATTACGCGAAGTTTCATCAGCATGTATAACGGGTGGATCGAAAGTTTTCGCACAAAATGTTTGTTTATATCTGACCCACTTGAAAATATTTCAGACGAGTCGAAAACTATGGATTAGAACCAGAATTTTGTGTTCTTTCTNTTCAATTCCTTTCTATTTAAGTTTTATCAACAATAACAAATATCTAATTCGATTGATAGTCATCTAATTCGTCATTTATATGTTGACTTGAGAAATGCTTTGGTTTTGGATACAGATGTTGATTTACATGTCATTGAAGCAACCGGTGAAGAATGTCATTATTTCCATAAACATACAGCTATTGGTGGTATAATAAGTCATGATTTTACGACTGGCTATGAATCAGAAGAATATCTAATTCGAAAAGCTGTAAAAGGTACATATATAGTTTGTGCAAAATATTTTACTAATCATCAACTAAGTTTAACTGGCGCCACGACAATAATGGTACATATCTATAAGTATTATGGTCAATCGAATCAATACAAAGAAATTGTCAAACTACGATTGAGTAGTAGTAAGAAAATGACTGATGTATGTAAAATGAACTTTAGTGATGACATCAAACTAAAATTAGAAAATACAGTAACACATGATCAAAATTCGAATACAAATATTCTTCTAAATATTACTTGTGATGGATGTGAAATGTCAACAATAAAAAGGAGATTGTTATACATGTTTATTTTGTCCATATATTGACTTTTGTCAATCATGTCAACCTACTAGTAGAACAAATGATGACTCGACCCATCAATATAATCATCCATTATTATATATTAAAGATTAAAGTGTATATCCAAAATCATTATACATATATAATAGAAACAATATTAATCATAAGAACAATTCATATTTCATGAAATCAATTATAGATATTAGGTTACAAATGTGTTTGTGAAATAAATTGATGTGAAAAATGTGAATTCATGGGCTTACATAATACAGATCATTGTCACACAAAAACAAATAGATTAGAATGATTCAATGGAAGTTTTCAATTAGCACATGCTTTACTTGTATTACATATAAATTCTTTTGATTATTTGCTTCTATTCTATATTAATAAACTAAATTTACTTTACGATATATATTAAACTTGAACTGAGTTAGTTTATCGAATGCTCAAGAAATTGTTATTTTCACACTACCTATGCATACAGAACAGATATTCTGACTACAACACTCTATGCTCCCTGTAACTTGCATGATAATGTTTCATAGAAGCAATGTGAAGTACTATCAGAACTATTTAATCATCGTTTCGTGTATTTGATATATACAATATTGTAACGAAAAATGATTGGGGAGAGTGTAGGTGTAAATAAATAGAACATTTATATTCTTATTCATGCTCTATTTTGATTATATTATCAATGACGAACAATAAATTCGAGCATTTAATTAGTTAACATTCAAGAAAATAATGATCACCGAAATAAAACAATAGATTTTGAAACGAATAAACGTGCATTGATTATCTTGAAGATATGCTTAAGTATTAATGGCAATCGAATTGAGTGTATTTCGATCTTCGTAATATATAGAATGTGTTTGTATTTTGAAGAAAACTCTCAAGTAAAACTAATTCTACGAAAATGATATTCGGCAAGTACTAAATAAATAATTCTATGATTGAATATTAATTTACTTTGCAATCATTTTAATTCAATAGAAACTCTCATTGAATGCATACTCATCTAATATCTTTCGTTACTTATGTTTTATATGGATAATACATGGTTTCGACCTACAATCTACATTTTTATTTTAAACTGATTTATTAGCGTCTAGACGATCATAGTGTTGACACTTCCTATTTCATCTGGCATATGCCAATGAACTTCATCATCAAAATACTGTGTTTTTTGGGCAAATATTGGCAATCGTAATAGAGCTCCAGTAAAAAGTCCACCGACGATAGCCATAGCTAACGTGAGTACAAGTGCAGCTGCTTGATAGGCTACTTGAATATTACTTGAACGTTGTAGACCACCTGTGAGACATAAATTAGTTAAATGATCTTGAAAACCTGATCGTTCTGGAATCGAAGCTACAATAATGCCTGCTATACCAGCTATAAAACCTGGTATTCCGTGCAAGTAGTGAACACCACATGTATCATGTATACGAATAAGTTTCAGTTTAGGTAATACAGCATAAAAACCAATTGTTGATATAAAACCAGCTAACGTACCAATGATCATGGCACCATGTAAACCAATATTTGATGAAGCAACAGTACCTACTGCTACGCCTCCAGCAAGAGTAGAACTTCGCACATGGATCATGTCAAGTTTACCGTGTTGAACAAGAGATGATGCTATAAAAGTACCAAGAACAGAAGAACAAATCGACACACAAGTATTAATCACTGCACGTAAACGTTCGGGACCAGCAGCAGTAGCTCCATTGAATGATGGCCAAAAGCAGAAAAGAAAAATGGTACCGATCATTGAAAACATGTCCGATGTATAACGAGATTTTTCATGAGGAGAATCACGCATATCCGAACGGAAAAGTACAAATGCAACGGCCAAACCAAAATAGGCACCTGAAATCACAATAGAAACATGATTTTATCCTAACATATCTATAGCAATCTGTCTTCTCGACTCACCAAATACATGAACAAACATCGATTCACCTTCATCATAGGCACAAAAGAATTTTGAACCTATCCATTTGTTGACAACTTGTACCGGTACTTCACAAAATGCCATAAGAATCAATTGAAATACATTGACTTTGCCCAAGACTGCACCCATCGAAATCAATATACTTATGGAAACAAAATCAGCTGTTATTAAACTTGTGATATCAAGTACAAATTGCTTTTCGATCATGTTCCAATCGAAAAAATAGCCACGCATGAGCAAAGCCCATTCAAATGTAAATGCACAGAGAACAAAATTGAATGCTATCGCTGAATAAGAATAACGATATAAGAAAGTCATTAGAAAACCAAAACCAACAAACATCATTACATGAATATCAGTAAACATTGCATAGTAATATTCGACAATACCACGTGGTGGTTCAACGATGCTCACTTGTGATAATGTTAGATTGTCAGCAAAAGAAACTGGAGCATAAGCATATCGAGCATGATAACCAAAGAGAAAACAAAACGTGAATTGGATTATGAGAAGAAGAATGGTAAAAAGGTATTGACGGATGATCGGCATTGGTTTTTGTTTTTTTGACGAAATAAACAATTGAAGATTTTGTCAGATCGATTGACGTACAATTTTGGACGCACGAATTTTGTTATAGATGCCTGGAATGGACCAACTCAAAATGTGTACCATATTCAATCAATTATTATGTATGCACAAGACAGATCTATTTGAATGTCAAACATAATGTTGATTTACTTCAGAGCAACTGTTACACACAAGTGAATAAAAGAAAAAAAAATAGAAATCTTATTAATATTGTATATTTGCTTTCAAATATCAACTCGTCATGTTTCTTCTCACATCTTTTTATTGCTTGAAATAAATAAGAAAATCATAAAAAGAGTTTTCTGTGAAGAAATTACTATTTGATGGTTAATGACATGCCTGAATTTCTTTCTATTGAATTCATTTTATTGAAAGAACGAAATATAATTATGTTTGAATTTAGTACAAAGATGAGTTATTTGCTTTTTCAATATTTGATAAGTGGTTAGTAATTATTATTTTTTGTCTCGACTATTCACCAGTAGAACTAAAACAGTCGTCGAGTAGTTGATTAACTGATTCAATTAAGTAATGGAAGAAGAATCAACATATTCTCGCCGTTGATATATATGTCGGTTTTCGATTAGAGCCTTTTCACGCTTCAATAATACAGACAAAACCTTTTCTTAACATAATTTTCTCGTAAATATTGCAAATAGACGATGTTATTTGATGATGAACAGGTGATGAGCTACTACTTGCATATTCTCCGTTTTGGATGTAAGTACGAGTGTCGTTACAGTGCCATATTCACTCAGTGAACTTTGACTAATCAACACATTTATCGTGGCACTCACTGTGTTTGACATTCTCTGAAATCTTGACAGTTGCTGTACAAGACAAGACCACATCCTCATGAATAACCGTTGACATCTATTATTCGAAAAGAACGCATTTCCTATTCAATCGAAAGAAGAAGTTCTCTAGTGTTTTCATCATGTTTTGTACTTTCGTGTACTTGATCGATTCATAGTTTCTGGTGATCTTGAAAAAAGTCCATTAGATTTATTCTAAAATTACACATTTAACTCAGAATCTAAGAAACCATATTAATTCACAATTTTAATTGAATTCGATTTTTATATGATTTATTTCCCTGTAGTTTAAAGAAACAATCATTTCAATAAGACAATTGCCCATATCATTTATATATTAAACTTGAAAAGAAAATATTCAAAATCAATTTAAAAAGTCCATATATATTGTTTATCGGCAGAACAAACGGTTAAATACTGATATATTCTTTCATTCAAATATGAATCCATGTGATTGCAAGAAAAAAATGTTACTCTAAAAGTGAAAGAGTTTTTAAATACACTACGGACAAATGCCAATTAATATCAGGAAAATATTCATCGTTTCTAAATTTTAGAGAGTTTCATGTAGAAAAAGCAACAAAACATAAATCGTATCTGGCGTTTTCGTTCCAGAGTCGATCTACATGAGTCCATTCTGAATCGACGATCGATGAGCAGCCAAAGCTAAAACTACATTGATCATTGAGTTCTTGTTTTTATTTCCTGTCGCAAAACGACTGATTGATAGACTGCTAGCTAATAACATTCTTTTGTTCGATTAGATACTCGAAATAAGTTTATTGAAATCATTGGTGACGAGCTTGACCTATTCAAATGATATTATTATCGATAAAGAAGAATACCACAATATGCTTTACTTTTTTAATCTTATCTACCCATTTTCGATGTCCAGCAATATCTTGGCAATAAACATAGACGGAAAAAACTTGATCAAATTGATGAATATCAGGGACTAGTTTTGCATCCAGTCCATCACTGACAATCAGAACGCGAGGGAACTTTTGGATCGCTGTATAAATCTCTGACATTCGTCTACATCCGTCAATGGCCAAACTTCAGAAAATTTAGCTTGCAGTTGTTCTTGTGCCTTTTTATTTTCGGCATTGTACACATTAGCATCGAGCCAAACAACCGTGCATTTATCACCGCCTGAATGTACGATCAGCCATAATTATGTCTGTTGAAAGAGCGAATAATTTTTACTATAAAGCGATGTGACGACTGCGTTGTGTTGGAAAATGTGCAACACTACAAAGAAAAAAATCTTTCTATCTCTTCCTGAAATCGTCAAACACGTATGTAATGACTGTAAGAAAGGGTTGAAGAAAAAGGAACAATCCAGCATGGAGACAGGAATGCATTGATAGACGCTCGCAAAATGCTTCGTTCTGTTAGAGAATCGACTGTAGTGTATAGATGGTGGTGATGAATGAATTTTTGCAGAACAATACCTTGCGCGTGTGAATAGGATGAATAATCGAATGTGATGTGAAATATTCTTTCAGTTTCAAACGTATTTGATCTTGTCTAATCTCGTTTTCTTTTATCAAGTATGTCTTGCAGAAAATAATTTATTAAATCTATTCGAGTACATCAAATTTGTGGTATTTCCGTACAAAGACAGTAACAATAAAAATGTTTAAATATACATAGTTAATGCTGAATCTAGTGTGAATAAAGAGTGGCCTGTTTGGCAATAAAACTCAAGTGCCTTATCTGTTTTGTTGTCAGTAGTAACGAAAAATGCGCTAGCCAAGACATTGTCGTACGACAGCCGACTACAACGAAGGTATTTCAGATAATATTAAAGAATCTAATGGCTTAATGACATCGACGAGTTCGAAGAAACAACAACGAATCCTTGTTCAAGTGAATTGTTTCAATACATGCGAGCTTTCACGAGATTTGATATGCTTCTGAATCTAATTTGACCTGTTTCCATTAAGCATTCTAGAATGCGACATTAGTAGAGTAGTAACAATGTGGGCGCGAGTAGAATACAGATGAGTATAGATTGCAAATTTAAATAAACATATGCATTTATAATCAAAACAAGACCAGTAAAAGATCCTTGCGAACATTTTGTGTACGGATGTCGTTGTTGTCTTTTGGTTTTTCTTTATGGGACTTTAATACCATTTCAACTTTCTAGATAAAGAATACAGCATGTTTGTCCTAAGTAGAAAGGTGTGGGTGTGGGTGTGGGTAGGTGTGGGTGTGGGTATGGGGTGTGCATGTGGGTGTGGGTGGGTGTGGGTATGGGGTGTGCATGTGGGTGTGGGTGGGTGTGTGGGTCTGGGTGTATGGGTGTGGGCGTGGATGCCGGTGTGGGTTAATGTCAGTGTGGGGTGTGGGTCTGGGTGGGGGCGCGTGTGGGTTTGGGTGTGAGTGTGGACTGTGGGTATGACTGTGGGTGAATGTGGGTCTTATCTTTATCCACACCCACCCACACCGCATACACTCACACCCGCCCTCTGCAAATAAGCTTATGGGTCTCTTCTTTATGCTTCTACAGATCTGGTTAATATTTAACATACACAGATATGAACTGCCTAAAGGGATTCAACAAACCTATAGCAGTTTTTCGTACTGTATACACGAAAAAGCATCCACGGCTAATATTACATTTATGTACATCGGATTGAACTGAAAGAGTGAATATGAAATTTCCAGCAGAAATAATACACAGACTGGTTTTTTTCAGAGGGAAAAAAGAAGAGAGTAAGAATATGTGAATCCTTGGTAAGATAAGTAAGAACAAACGCCGCAGGCAAATATTAGCATTCCATGAATCATAAAAAGCATTCCCTTTCATACTTTTAATGACGACATGCCTTCTTTTATAACCATAAATCATGATCATTGATAAAATGATATTAAAAGGACAAGTTTCCAGTCGACTTCAGTCATCAAGGTACAAAGGATCAAAACACAACATTTAAAAAATATTTATGAGTCAGCAAGAGGAGAAAATAGATTCCATCTTAAACGCTCTTCGAGACAAAGTCAATCAACTTGAAAGTCGTTTTAATACATTACGTGAGGAGGCCATTTCAAAATTTAATGAATTCAATGATTGTATTGAATCTGCTAAAAGCGTATGTCATCAAGCAACAGAAATGACTACAGTCTTAGAAAACAAATTAGTTAATGCATCAAATGAAGAAAAAGAATGGAAAGATACCAAAGTTAAATTAACAACAACATCAATGAAAGATATGGTCATACTCAATGTTAGTGGTGAGAAATATACCACAAGTGTTGAGACATTAACACTTGAAAAAGATACTTTTTTCATTGCACTCTTCTCTAAACAATGTCAACTTGAAAGAGATCCCGATGATAAAAGTATATTTATTAATCGTGATGGGCAATTCTTCGATCATATTCTGTCATACTTAAGAACAAATACGGTGCCAATTAATGTTATGGAAGATGAAACACTTCTAACTAATTAGTCTTATAATTGAAGCTGAATATTTTCGTTTGCATAGTCTGATGAATATGTTAGATCTTTTTTCCAGTGGAACATTACTTCATCCAGACCATAACAAAAAAAGCTAAATGAATTTTATGGTAAGAATAATCAACGATGGGAATTGATTTATAAAGCAACACGTGATGGATTTGATACAAATGCATTTCATTCACGTTGTAATAATAAAGGACCAACAATAACGATCATTCAATCAAGTAATAACTATCTTTTTGGAGGTTATACAGCTATACTATGGATTTCAGAAGTCGGTTCATGGAAGAATGATAATACAGCATTTTTATTTTCTTTGGTCAATCCTTACAAGATTCCACCAACTAAATACCTCATTAATCCTGGCCAGAGTGGAAATGCAGTTAATCATCATAGTATCTATGGGCCCTACTTTGGAGCTGGTCCCGATATGTACTTGGCAAATGCTAGTAATTCGAACAATTCAAGTTACACTAATTTTCCTTCATCATACGTCGATACAACTGGAAAGAGTAATAATACATTTACTGGAACTCGAAATTTTACCGCATCTGACATTGAAGTTTTCAAATTAGCTTAAATTATTTTTCTCGCTGCTGATTCTTAATGCTCATTGATGGAAAAGAACTCCTTTATGATTATCGTGATCTTAAAATCTGTGTAATTTAGAAAATATTGAATGAGTTGACGATATGTGTGTTTTCCATTGTGTATGAAACATATTTCAAAAAAAAACATAACATCGATAAGAATGATTGAAATTATTATTATAAAATAAAAACACATATTTTTACTTTCCTTTTGGAAAATGCTCAGCACAATCAATTTCATTTAGACAGACTGATCATGGCTTGGGATCTTAGAAATCATCTTTTACATATTCTATCAATGACATTGACGCAAACAATGTCTTATACTTTGAATGTAAGAAATTGCTATGGAGTGAAGAACCGCCAAATATTTTATAAACAACATGGATTCAGTCATTATCATTGATTGATTTGTTTGATAATGAATTAACTTATAGAAACCGATCCTTGAATTGTGTTACTTACTTCCATAGAGATACAAAATAAAACTATAACATTTCAGAAAATCATTCGTAGAGATCGATGAAATCTTTGGATTCTAATGTTAGTTACTATCTCAATCACTGAGATAATGTTTGAGGAGACTTCAATAAATGGTTGAATGGAATAATCAAACACAATCTTGAATAAAAACAAAAATTATCCAATATCCAATGAATAAAACGTATCTTCTTGTAATTTAATTGTGTAATATCATGTTCTGTAAGATATAAATTCAGAATCAGAGAAGCATTGATTTGAAATAAAACTCAATATCGTCGTTTGTTTTTCATTGATGACATTATTATCTTATCTTGTAATTATTAACTACAACTGAAGTAGTTACGTATATGCAACATAGACTTTTCTTAATCTTATGAAAGGATTGATTAATCGCATTGCTCGATAGTTTAACGACCAAATACTTTTCCTTTATATTTATCGTAATTGTTATAGCTAAAGAAAATTTTAACAATTTTTATATATCTACAAATGTCTTTTATATCCTATTAAAATTGTCTTCGAGTCATTGCATGTGATTAAACAACTGTATGATTCTATCGAACATGTTGACCAATTCAAAACAATCAATCGTGTCAATAAGAAATATTAAACTTAATATGAATAGTAAAATATATTTCCATGAGAATATTATGTTCATCATTATCCAATTCTAATCAATTCAAAAGTGATAACTCAATATCCATCTTAGATAGAAAAATTGTATAAAAAAACTGCTGAGTAAATCAAAGCAAAACAATCGATCCTATTCTATAATCATCGTTTTCATAAGTGTTGCTGTTCGAAGACACTATTTCGTGCAATGTTGACTGAATTATTCAATGTGATCATTGCTGATCTAGTTATTTCAATGAGTAGGATTTTAAAAAACTAATGAGATAGTGATATTATTTTCAATGTGATTTCTTTTTTGGTATCTTGAGAGTACGAATATTGTTTATATAGGTTGACAACAAATAAATGATAGTCTTGGTGATAAATATTATTCTTCTCTTTTGAAATCACAAATAAGTGTGCGTATAGCTTATGTATTTATCGTCTTTTTTAATTCGACTTAAACTAAATTAAGTATTTAGTGATTTTACTTAACACTTAGTACGGAGCCTAAGTGATTGCGTTAGACAAATATCGTTATATTTTGAGCTTATTTGTAATTCACAGACTTCGCATATTTTTATCTGAGTCATTCAAGAGAAAACTTCTGCTAATCTCGAATAACAATCTGTTTTGTCCTTGCAATAATAGTGGAAGAAACTGCTATAATCTGATTGATTGAAGCGAAAACGCTTCTAGACAATTAGATTTGACGAAACGATTTCTCAGTATTGTGAGGAAATCAAGGTGTTAGTTGAGACTATATTAAAGAAAATCTGCGCTAAACTTCTGATCGAGTAAACCAACACGATATTTCATCTTTACAAACAATAGTGAAGATAGAAAGCTTTTTGTGAAATCAGACTGGCTAGGAATTATTCATTTTAACCAATCAGATTAGAGCAAAGTTTCCTTCACTATCGAGTAGACAAAACATGTTATTCTCCTTAACGACTTGGACAACACCAAACTGTTCGTACTAGAGCAAAGAAAAACTCGAATATAGAATTATATTTGCCTAACGTAATCACGTAAACTAGTGACCGAGCCAGAAAAGTTTGTAGGAGGAAGGAAGCTCAGTCTCCGTTTTAATTTGTACAGCAAATATTATCTTTGTCTATAATATGGGATTGTCTCATTTTTAGAGGAAGTTCAAAAGTTTCTGAACAAAGCTCTGTCATCTCTAGTTCTACCGCTATAAAAAAAATCTCGTCAAACAAAAGTTTACTCTTATGTAGACCTTTAAAAAATATAGGTTATATATTGAATCGTATTGAAGAAGTTTCAACTTTGTTGCTTGAAAACAATAGTTTGAGGAAAAAAAACAGCAGTAGGATCGAAGTGGCTTCCAAAAAATCTCTTAAAATCTCGTTCTTTAAGGAAATGTCTTAGCTATCTTGAAGAAAAAAACTTTGTTGCATCGTCCGATGATAAAAACTCAGTCTCGACATTTTTACGAACAATTGCGTTTTCTCATAGAGTGAAGGGCTCTTAATAAATTTTACACTAAAAATTACCAACAATGAAAACTAATTAATAACATATTACGTAAGTATATTCATTAAGCATTAGAATAACAAAGCTTCATCAATGACATTGATTTAGAATAGCCGATACAGCCTTGACTACTCTTGTCAATCTTTCAAATGTCATTGTATTCGATACTATTTTCTTTTGTAATACTAAAAATATAAACATGAGGTTGTGAGGATAAAGTTTTATCAATCGAGCAATGCGACTTTTTTTAAAGGTTTTTTAACAAAGTGCTGAACAATTCCACATAAAACATAGTGTAATAGAAATCAATAATTATTTATCTTATTCGCTTATTCTGCGCTCATCAAGACATCACTGGTTACATGTTCAGTCAAGCAATGTACTTCGCGTAATTGGATTGAAATGGATAACATATATGAAAACGTTGGGTGTAGAACGAGGATATAACGATTAAAGATTTTATTTTTAACTATTGACGAGTGATTTAATCATTGAATTTTACCATAAAAATCTGATGATAAAGTTGCTTTCAAGCTTTAAACAACATAAAGCTAAATTGAACAATGAATGGAAAAAAGAATAAGTTGTAATAATTTTCAAAAAATGATTGATAAATTTCTAAAAGACTTAGCACATCAATTAAAAGTCGTGAACAATAAATACATAATAGTTAAATGAGATTTTTATGTAATCAGATCAATCTATGTACTTATTAAACCTTATTTGTCGTTTTTTTTTCAAATAAAATTTCTTGCTGATCAATTGTGAAAAATTTATCGTAAAATTTTCATGCTTATATTTTTGATGATTGCAAGAGAAGATATTATCCTATAATAGGTCATTAGAGAGACTGACATGAGTACTCCATGTTCATATAAAAACATTCGATTAAGGATTATTGTCTATTTACACATAAACTAATTTTATGGCATCTAAAGACTTATGAAACATGCTGTGCATGACTATATGATAGATTCAATATCTTCGATCGACTGGAATCAATCAGATTGATTATTATCGTCAATGTTTTTATTCATAAGAAAACTGTCGAATAGATACTGTGTAGCAACAGCCCTATCGATCTCCATGAAGAAATACAGTATGGACCAAAAGTATCTCATGTTGATATTTCCGCTGTACTTAGTAGTAGACCTGTGAAGTTTTTAGAATAGATTTCACTTTACAAATATTGGTCAATGAGATTAGTTCGACTTTATCGATTTCAATCATAGAGGAGTTATCATCTATGGCAATCCTTGTCATGATTAGTCCCGTAACTTGAGAAAAGAAGAAAGTTATGATTTTACGAACTTATCAGTATGTACTTAGTTCTTTAATGCGGTTATTAACGCTAGAAGTAACGATTGTCGATAACTGTTGAAAATAATTCTCTAGAGAAATTCGATTGTTTCTTTGTGAAACTATCATCCGATGCGTCCGCCAGCGAGCCCCGATATAATTTGTTATATGGCACTTACTGGTGTAGTGCATAGCTTTATTGAAAGAATTAGTCAATGTCCTCATATGTACGCTGAACTCGACTATTGATGATAATCAACAATTTTATCTACCCATCTAATAGAAAATAAATTTCATGAAAATTCTATTTTCATTGTCAAAAACTAATTTTTCTCAAGTGGCCGAAACACATCATAAAATAATGTTATAGGTCTAATTCTCCCAATGATCACGTTGTGACACATTGAGTGGGAGTTTGACATGACAGAAATCAACTTTTGTAGAAATTGATTTCATCTGTTATCGACTCGATCAGCCTCTTCCTTTTATTCTACCAATCTTCTGAAATAATCATCATAGTTATATTATTTTATTGAAATAAAAACGAAAACAACTATTTATCAAGCCGTTAACCAACACATACATATTTGTTCATTTTTGAGAAAATCTTCCTAAAATAATTTTGTATATTTTTTCTTTTGAAATTTATATTTTTTAAAAATAACTTAGTATAATTATTGCTTTAATTTCAATTATCCTAAATAACATAAATATATTTTCCTCAAATATTATTTTAGCGTAGAAACAATGCACAATGAATCAAATAATTTAGAAAACTAAATCCTATATAGATTTATATATTTTTTTTAAAAAATCGTAATCCCAGACCAGATTATAATGGATCTTTTTGGTTTTACGAAGTATGCAATGAAGTATATGAAATATAGAATTTGGTCAAATTTTTGTAAAGAAAAATAATTGAAAAACCATAGTTTTCAACAAAGAGATATTTTTAGTGAAAACTATTAGATGGCTGAAGTATTAAAAGACATTGTCCAAAAGTTGTCAAAATGTGGGTCTCTGAGTATCTTTTTATGCTCTTTCAAACTAGCAAACTCATTTGAAAAAGTAAAAAATTTTCGGCTATCGTGATCTCGTGGACGCTCTCTTTAACAAAAAAGTCTTTTGAAAAACAAACAGAAATATTTTCTTTATTTAAAAATGGATGCAAACCATTACATTATTTAATAAAATAAAATAAACTTTAATTATGTATCACAAAAAAAAAATTTTCTTTTTGTTTATTTTCGTACAATATTAAGTATCATTGTTATTTTCACACATACCACATTGTATCTTGAATAGACGGATCAAGTTGAATAAGTCTTGTTTCTACTTCTTGTAATGTTATTGAGCCCACATTTTCTATTAAATCATCATCATCAAGATCTCTATAAACAATAACAACTCATTTTTCTTTTGTGATTCATAAAAGAAAAAACAATGCTTACCCTCCTGTCGTACTCCTTCTTTCATTTTCATAGCTATCAGCATCACGCGATTGATATGCAGCTAAATGTGCATAATGAACAGGTGCTGGTATTGATACAGCTTTTGTACAACGAACATCCGAATGACAAAGATAATATGTTAAAGATTGTATTTCATCCGATGAAAAACCAATTTCATCATATAGAACATGATATAAAATTGGTCGTGATGTTCCTGTAGAAAAAGCATTATTCTCGAAAAAGTTCTTTTTGTTTCGATATTAAAATTTACCTTGAATAGCTGCATGACTATTTAAATAGAAATCAAAACCTTGTGGATGAACAATATCAGTATCAACAACAGTGCCTAATCAAAATTAAAAATAGAAAATAAAATTTATTAAATTGTCATCGAAATAAAAATATGCCTGGTTGAACATTATTCATGTATCCGGTAGTTGGATCTCGAACAAAAAATCTTGTATTATGACGTTTTTTAACAATAACAAATGTTATTTTTGGTAATAGATTGTTCATATAGAGTGCTAAGAAAAAAGACAATAATAAAATCATGTATAAATTAACGTATTGAAAGTGGTTTTTCTTGCAAGTAATACAACTCAAAATACAGAAAGAATTAATACCCTTTTAATCAATATTTAAAAGCTTTTGATCAGAAAAATTTCAACTTGAGTCAAAATTAACATGATATTCAGAATGAGCATTAAAAAAAATGACGTTGATTTATATGTAATTTGTTGAAAGATAAGCGTGGATGACAAATACAATCAATAAGCTCATAATTGAGAACAGGATATATGAATATTAATTTGCTACAAGTCACTTTTCAACAGTGAGTATTTTAATAAAGTATAATGTGTCAATCTTCTTAATTTCGATAAGCAATTCATTGATGATACATGATTTTAGTCCAAAAGAAAAGCATTTTAATTTAACAAATAAATGATAATACAAAGGTTAAAATACTGAAAAATGTCAGAGCTCTAATTTATTCGTCAAATTTTTTAATTATTTTTTATTATAATGATCAGCGCAGATATTAAGAAAGATAAAATACCTTTGCAAGCATTTTGTAAAGCTCGTATTTCATTATCAAGTACTTTTTGAAAATGTCCATCATCGACTCCTAATAGATAAATAAAATGCATAAAAATAAATTTTTCTTGTTTTTCGATCAAATAACAAATCTTTTACCATCACGATAAAATACAATTTTATTAGGAAAACATCCATTTCTTTGTGCAAATAATTTTAATAAATCTGTTGACATTTGATATAAATCTTTGATAATTTCTAATGAAATTTTTCCTCGTGCAGGATATTGTTCACCAACACGTGATGCATATTGTGTACCTGAAAAAAAATAATTTATTCATTTTTGTCAAAATTTGATTTAATTACAAAATCAACAAACTTGTAGAATCAACTGAACCAATAACAGCTGCTATTGATGGTTTATCTCTCGAACATGTTGTATGTGTTACATCAGCACCAAAAAACATAAATATATCATCTTTTGTTGACGATGACGTTAATGCTCGAGCTAAAGATACCATTCCATTAACACCACCAAGTTTAGCATTAAATTTTTGTACAAGATTTTGTAAATACTAAAAGTTTATTTTTAATTAGAAACAATACTTTTGCTAGACTATCATCAAGAATTTCTTCTCAGAAAATGAAAAATTCTACAGAGAAATTTTCTCCCCCATTCATTAAGTTGCTACCTTGAAGATTAATTTCTAATTTAGCAAAGTTCACTTGGATTGAAATTTTCAGACGATGTGGGTTAAAATTTGCATACCAAGCTTCGACTCTACTCATAGTTAATTTCTGATTTTCAAGAGAATCTCTAAGGTTTCGTAGAACTTCCATTCATTTTATGTTATTATTTTAGTTGGAATGATGTTAAAACAAAAGATATGATTTTTTCAATAAATTTATTAAAATCTGACTGTCTTGCAAAAAATCATACATGTTCGAAAACAATAGACTTTGATGTATTTTTCTATAATAAAAACTTATCTTCTATTATTTTATTTTATGCTTTCTAAGGGAAGGAACACGTTAAGTCACCATTTTATATCTCAAATATTGACAGACTAAATAAACTCAATACATTTCATATCTCGAAATTGACTTGTTTTTCTCTTTCTTTATACTGTATCATTTTTATTCTTACCATATCGAGTTTTTTATTTCTAATATTTCTTGAAATAGCAACAAAATCTGTACATCTAGAATAAGAAAAATATTTTCAATAATCATTGAACTTTGAAAAAAAAAATCATCTTACTGTGTAACAATTCCAAGTTTTTGATTTCCAAAATACTTAATTAATTTATAAGTATCTTCTCCTACACCATTAAGAATAAATAAAACAACTTCACAATTTTTTTCTTTTAATTCTCTTAAACGATCATGTATTATCTGTGGATTAGCGGGATCACTACTCATTATGGGATTTGATTGAAAACATATTCCATATTGTCTAATTATCTTTAAAATAAGTAGTTTTCTTTGTAAAAAAAAATTAAACATAAATCAAAACAATGATTTACATAAGGAAATTGATCAATGAATTGTTTTGCAATCGACAATTGATTAGCATTTGGTTTTTGTGATGAAATCATAACACATGCCCATCGCTCAATAGTTTTTGTTTTTTGAAAACGATTCCTCAAATTCCATCTTTATAAAAAAAAAAAAAAAAAAACTTTAGTGAAATTTGTTTATCTATTTTTTTTTTTCTTCTCAAATTCATACTTTCCAATATTAATTCTTTCAACAATATCACTTTGTCCATCACGTCCACTTTTATATTTTATTTCTGGTGGTGCAATAAATCTTGCAGGTACAGTAAGCATTTGTTGATCCTCAATACTCATACCAATTTCAATTAGATATTTATCTTGATTAAAATTTCTTAGTTTAACTATATCCATTATTGATTGATATCGTTGTGTTGGATTTACAACTGTTTTTCTTGTTACTCGTGCACGTTGATCTGTTGTTAAAGGTTTTATTGAACGTTGCCAAGCTTGAACTGTACAACATTCCATTGGTAAATAATGAAATTGTGTTTTATTTGGTGGTGTATATAACTCTAATTATACATAATAATGTTAACAAGAAAAAAAAAACACAAAAAATTTTATCTTTATTAATTATCTTACCAACTGTTGGTAAATTTGGATATTTTAAAGTGATTTGATATTTTTCTAAGAAATATTCATAAACAGATTGTCGTTCTTGATTATCTTCATTAGCATTATCAACGATACGTGGAAATGTATGTTGTCGTGCTGATGCACCAAAACCACGTATACGATATTTTCTTACACTGTCTGTATGATGAGTTTCAAGCCATATAGGTTTAAGTACTTTTCGTAATAATAATTGTTGTTCACGTTCATCAATACCTTTTTGAAAAAGAAAAGAAAAGAAAAGATAAATAAAAAAAGAAAAATCAAATATTAAATTACCATCTTGAATTATATTATGTTGAAGATATTCACATAGAAAATCAACTAAATTAAATGGTTGATAAAAACATGTAAATGTTGAATTAATATTTATTGTTGCACCAACTTTGGTTAAAAACATTGCTTGATAAAATCCATGAGCTAAACCTCGACCATCACCTTTGAAAATACAAAATAAAAGACAAAAAAATGAAAATATATATGACTAAAAATATATTAAAATAATTAATACATTCACAAGAAACACTTCTATAGAAAAGAAAAGAAGCGAAATTTTTGTTCTAATATACACAATGATGAATCTAAATTTCATCATAGTTTTCTATATAATATAACCTAAAATGAACTATTCTTGTTTAGAAAAATTTCAAAGTTTTCGTCTTTGAGAAAGATCAGTCACATAGATCTTATAGATTTCAAAATAATCTTCCAAATAATATATAAAACTTCCATACCTTACACAAAAAGGCAAGGTTATTAGATCATAAACCTGTTCATAGGACTTTTTCCATTGGAATTCTCACACTTCCATGATCAATCTGATATACTTCTATTTATATGAAGAGGATAAGAGAAAAATCGAACATCAGAATTGTATTCAACATAAAAAAAAAACTAAGTTGTTCTACGTATATTTCAAAATCAAATACTACAAATTTTATCTTTGTCGAAAAAATTAGATCGGATCCCTCTTAGTAAAACGTCAAAAAAATGGGAGTCCGGATCGAATTTTATGACGAATATAAAAGTTGCCTTAGAATTCTGCAACATACATTGATCGACTAAACTTTTTATGTTGAATACAATTCTCATTTTGAACTTTTTCTTATTTTGAGTATCATTAGACGGCAAATATTACTGATTTCTAGTTAAAATCGACACTTTGATAATAGTCTGCCTCAATTGATATTTGAAATTATTGTAAAGAAGTCTTAATGTTTACTTCAAAAACAATAATACTAACTTATTTAATAACTTTCAATATGAATAATTAAACATACCTAAATCATCTAATTCTTGTTGTCGATCATAAAATTGATTTTTAACAGAAACCATCGTTGCGCGAGTTGTTTGTTTAAGAAGTGTTTCAAGAATTCTTATAGGATCTCTAGGACGAATAGCTATTTTATTTGCAATAAAATCCCAAAGAGTCTAAAACAAAACAAAAAAGAAATCTTTTTGTTTTTGGTTTTTTTTTTCTTTTAAATTAAAATAAAAATAAAAACCTGTATATCATATGATTTAACAAGATTAATTATTAATAAACGATATTTTTGTTCTCTATCACTTTTTTTATCTTTTATAGTTATTTCATATTGATCTTTTAAATCAACAAGTAATTCAATTGAATAAAGACTTTTTCCTTCATCATACCAAACTAATGGAAAATGTTCACGTTCAATTATTTTTCTTAATACAATAAAACGATCATCTTTTTTTGCTGGACGCCATGTACCATCTCGATTAGCTGCTTCTAATTCAATATCATATTGATGACATTTTAATATTCGAGGGATATTACATTTAAAATGGTTCGTAAATAATTTTAGTTTTTGACCGGCTTAGCAAAAGAAAAAAAAGCATACACACAAGTTTTCCAATGATTATGGCATAGTCTTTTGATTTACCTAATCCACCTTGATCTGGTCGTTGAGCTATCGACATTATTGATGTATCGGGTACGGCTGAACGAATAGAATTTCTGAATGAACGTGTAGATTTAGCTCGATTTGTTGAAGAACGAGATGTAGATTTACAATGATCTGTTGAAGATTTTCGTCCTGACGGTGCTGTAGTTGTTGAGGATGGAGGACGATTTGTAATATGATTTTCTTTATTTCCTTGATGAAATTTCTCAGGTATTATAGCCATCGATTGAGATCTATAGGGTTCTGGTGGGCCTATGTCTGTTCTATTAACTCGTTCTAAAGAAAAATCAATATTATATCATAGAACTATCATATTTATATATTTATTTGTTTAGTTTGTTATTATTTAATTGTTTTATACTTACTACCGCGACCTCGTCCGCGTGACGCTGATGCTGACATTATTTCTATTATAAATAAATTCAATTAAATCTGAAAGAAAATACCAATAGAAGCATATATAGTGCGAAGTAAATAGTCAAGACAAAATTCCCAATGATTGTTTAACAAAAGGTGAAATTCATGTAATTAAGCAATGATTTAGGAAAAAATGCAAAACCAAGATTAAATTTATTATGTTTGTAAACGTACATAAGCAACAATAAGAAAAAACCCAATAGTATACAAGGCTCATAAATGTAATTACATAAGACACGAGCGACATCTGGTTTTGATGGTTGACAGCGAAGTTCAAAACTTGAATGAACCTTTAATAGAAGCTGCATAAATTTATCGTGAAAGTCGATTTTATGATCGACGTTAATGCATACTCTTCTTTTTACATAAATCAATTCGTTACAAGAAGTTAAAGCTATGAAAATTTGTTGTAGACTCTTGCGATTTGATTAGATGGACTTATGAACGTTGACACATGAAAGATTGTGAGAAATGGAGAAAAGTTGTCATTTCCATTATTTTGCTTATATTTCCGTTATTTTTCATTCGATTGTAAGCTATTTGTCTGTATGATAACTAATTAGAGAACAGCTTTTTAATATAGTGTAACATGTAGAGAACTACTTGGTATTTTGACTTGATGTAGCAATGATGAGTGTGGACGATAATAAGAATATTTTAATGGAATCTTATTTTTGTCTCATATGTTGATAAATTCATTACAGGATACTCATCGATTTTCATTGTTCGAGTTTCTTAAAAACTTATGAGGAGGATATCTATATATGATAATGTTCAGTCGATACGATTTTAATATGTAACGTTGAGATAAAATAAATGCCATTTTATCAGATCTATTTCGATATATGACTAATAATTTAACAAATTTACTATGTTTAGGATGAAAATCTGCTTTAACAGAAACTTATAGAACGATCTGAAAATCATATGATGTATTTAATAGTTAATCGTTTCTAAATTGAACATCATTCATTCGTCATACAATACGTCGTAAATATAAAAAATGCTTCATATAAAAGAATCTTAGATTTTCAAAACTAAGCAGAAGCTCGAAATTCGTTTTTATTTCTATTAAGTCGATATATGTATTTATTTAGATCGAATAACCTTTGATATGTGAAGCATCTTTTGTTGACGACAATAGTGAAACAGTCAGAAAAGATACTTCAAATACACAAAACGGCATTGTTTCATATTAAAAATACAAAGTACAAAGTACAAGTATACAAATACTTTTTATCGAGTTCAAATATTGACGGGTGTCTAGTGATTATAAGGCGTATCTCTATGGAGAAAATTTTACCTTGAAATTCGACTATCCAGATGCTTAGCAGGTCTCTGTTCATAGAGCAAACATTGAGAAAAACGTCCATAATTCGAGAAATGAAGTATAATAAAATCAAAGTAAAATAAAATTTCTTATTACTCATTATAATTGATCAAATGATTATAATTTCAAGCAGTAAGACATTTAACGGTTAGGAACGTGACGTGGTTAGTAAATACGTGATTAAATACTGATGTGTTATCACGTTATTTGTCCTTATGACATTATTAACTTCTATATGATTGACTTAGCTGTTCTTTTACATAGACTAGAATTATATATTGTCAAAAGAAATTAAAATAAAAAGTCATTGAAATATCAGACAAGACGAGAACAAGATTTATTAGAGAAAAGAAATCGAATAGCTGACATTTCATTATTATTAATTTCAATACCAAACAAACATAACAGAGACACGGTAATGAACAAAAGTCTCGACCCAAGTCAATCTTGATCACTGTATGTGTCTGAAATTTTGTATAACATGCACTTCACCAACAATGTAGGTCATTGGCAACATGAAAAGAAAGAATATTTTGTATCAACTGACTCCTCACTATGTAATGCTATGCTAATTACATTGAACTTTATTAATTCTTTCAAAGATTATGTCCATTGTTATGAAGAGAAACCATCTACTTTTTTTTCGAGGTCAAAAACTTAGGATAGTTCAATGAACACGAGTTCAAATTTTTTGCAAAGCTTCATCTACATTTAGATATTATCAGCTATAAGTTTCAGAAGCGAATCTTGTTATTTGCAATGATCCAGAATCATCAGTATTTGAGCAAATAAATTTATCTTTTGGATGAAGAACGACTGTAGACCGAACTTCAGCTACATATAAAAATATCAAGAATTAGTCATATTTTTAGTAAGAAATAACGCAAAATTTTCTAAGAATTTTTTTTGTTTAGGTTATAATGTTCATAACAAAAACTAAGTGTGATTTGATCATAACTCTCCTTGTAATTAACGAACAATAGTGCCGTAATGTCAATGACCTACAATATCTTGGTGAAGTTCGTGTACGTAAATTTTCAAACTTCCAGCACAGACAAAAAACAAAAACAAAATTCTCGTAATCTCTCAATATGACTACAGATATCATTAATATCTACTTTTTTGATCCAAGAAATAAGTAAGTGTTCATAAACAATATTAGAATAATGCTGTGTATTTTTCTTTTTATCTTTAGAAGAGAATATGTAAAGAGAGGAGAAAAAAACCTTGGCAAGTATATATAAAAAGTCAAAACACTGTATAATTCAAATAGCTGTAAACAGAACAAGAAAATAAGTTTCAGATGGCGCTACTTTTTTTTATTTCTACATCCTTTTCATAGATAATTCTATTTCATTTTTACATCTATTTCAAGACTAGATAAATATTTCTCAAGAATATTCTATCATAGAATCTCTTTTTTTCTTTGTAAGAACTCATTGATCTTCTTTCCTTTTACTACGATGTAATACCAGCACTTGTGAAAAACACGTGTTGACTGACTTCATATTTTTATCATTTCTTCTTTCTCATTATACACAGAGTAAAATGAAGATCGATCAGTAAACAAAAAAATTTTTGCTTTTCTAGATATTACTTTATATTATTATAATGTTTATTTAATTAACAAAAAATAAAATATGATGGCTAATAATCTTACACATACTTTCTTATATGGTTCACGAAGTATTTGAAAATTTTATATTTATAATTTATTTAATATTATAGTTGTACAGGCAACTTCTGTACGTACACTTACTAGTCAACAAGGAAAAGGTCCTGTAGATAATGTTAAACAAGCTGAAAAAGTTAAAGAAGTTGTTAGTAATGCTATATCACCTGTTGTTGGTGCGGGTTAGTGATGATAATAATGCTAGTATGTTTTATTTAAAAATAAAAATAAGAATATCTTGAAAATTTTATAGATCAAAATATAAATGATAGTAAAAAGATTGCGTTATCATTTGCTTCTTATATTCAATCAAAGAATGAGACATGCAGTTAGTAAAACAACAAATCATTCTGGATATGAAACTTCATGTAGTAGTAGTATTAATCCATCGAGTAGTTACAATGGTAGTCATCCAGCATCTCAATCATCAAGCACTCATGAAATCAGGGCTCCTTATACAAGTGATTCACCAACTGAATCATCAGGTGAATATAATAGAAGTTGTCCATCAATAGCTGATAAAATTAGAGATCAGGTAAGTGATTGTACTAAACAAGCTAAATCTACTACAAATCAGACTGGTAATAAAGCTCGTTGAGATAAATTGATGTCATGAAAATTTTATATGATTCACATCGTTTTGTTCATAGTCTAGTGCTGATAGAATTTCTAATCAATCCAAGCAAAGTTATGTAAGTTATTACTTTATTTAATTTATTTGTAGCAAATAATTATAACTATGATCTTCATTTCCTTTTTTTGTTGTTTGTTTTTCAAAAAATATGTAATCAAGCAATGGTTAGATAAAACCTTTTGCTAGTCCGACAGTTTTTCATGTTCTTTTTTGATTTCATTTGTTTGTTTTCGGAAGAAAAATATATGAAAACTTTGATATTTTACCTTCATTCATAGCAACCTCAAAAGTGAAATAAAATATTGACGTTTTCAATATATCCATTGTATGGAAAGATCGATCAGGCGTAGTCTATTGACCATTGAATGGAAAACAATTTGACAACAATACTATCTGAGGCCTTCCATAAATCTGATGTACTTTGATGAAAGAACGTTGTAAAGACACTCGGAGATGCTTTCTTTAATAGACAATGACTTGTTCTACTATTTCATTTGATGCGAGCAAATTTTAGGCGCTGAAAAACTAAAAGATTGTTTCTCTGAAAAATTCGTAGTGACCATTGGATGTTTGACTATCTCGTTTCTACTAAACTTTCGTACAACTTTCGAATGATATTGATATTAGTAATAGAAATCATTATCGGAATATATCAAGTAATACATTTCCTTCATATATATTGTTTGTTGGTAGAAAAATATTTTATTTAAAAATAATTCAGCCCTTGCGGCTTTCTCAATTTCCTTTTCTTTTTAAACATTATGCTTTTTTCAACCAAGCAAAAACTTCTAATTTATAAAGTAACAATTGATTAGAAAGTGAATAACAATAATTAACTGAACGTTGACTTTTTATCTAAGAGTAACCAAGAAATAGGTAAAGTCTTGATCCTTGACTTGTTCATGTTCAAATTAGAGTAAACTATGCTGTCTTTTATTGTTTGACAAGTAAAAATAATAATACCATCCTAGATATATATGAAAAATCGTATCTACTTTCCAAAATTCAAAATCCGCCGCAATCTCGTCAGACAATGTATCACTGGTGTGATAGGATAAATATAAGTGCATAAAAAATGAATGTAAAATATATATCGATTGTGACGTTATCAGTCATGCATACTACAGTAGAATAATATTTTAGTCAAACGAAGCAACATGCTTGTCATACTGGTTATTGTTGTCCTCGTTTTACTGGTTTTATATTGCAAAATGAAATATTTTACTCGTCGAGGCCTTTCATCTGGATTGTCACCGCATTTTTTCTTTGGAAATTTCATTCAATCTGATTTGTTGTTTTTTGACGGATTGCTTCCGAAAGTTTTCCTCAACGTTTCAAAATTGTTTTGGTGATATCTATCAATTTTAGTTCAGACTGTCACGTCTGATTATTGTCAGTGAAGTTGATGATGTTCAATTCTTCTTTCTAATAGTCTTATTTGTCTGAAAGGTTAGACTAGATCAATTTGTTAACTTGTTTCAATCATTAGTTATCATTCATAGGAGCAAAATACAAACGACATGCTGCATACAGTCTGTATTTATTTCGTCGTGGTAGGATTATATTAAATTTAGATGTCATAATCGAGTGTACCGATAAACTTTTGACGTACCCATCCTAGTCATCATGTACATTGTGACATTATTCCCCAAAGTGAAAATATAATGCTTGCGATTTTTGGTTGGATTGCGTTTGATTACGATTTGAATACACTCGATGGTAGCGATAATAGGAATCAGTTTTGTCAAGCTCTAGAGAGCTTTTTTTTAGCATATTTGAATTCGTTTCCTATATGACAAGAGTAATAAATATTCTCTATTTGAAATTAACCTGTCGACATCAGCGAGCAAAAAAAGAAAACATTGAACGATATACTAATCGTATTATTGATACTGAACTAAAGGAGAACGAAGAACGGAGAATTCAACGAAAGAGAACATCTTTCGTTGCATCATTAGGCTACCTCATTACAACAAGACATTGAAGCTGAAGCCCAGAAAATTGAAGAAGAAAAAAAAACCGGGTTCCGGAATTTTCACCACGAAGAACAATCACACTGTAAAAGAAGTTTACTATGAAACTGAAAATCTATACTACAACTGTACGGAATCTTAAAAGAGACTTTCCTGGGAGTAGACGAGAAGAATCGTAATTACCTACAAAACAAATTTATTTTTATGGAAACATCTACTAAACAAAACAAGTCAAAACTTCTAGTCCATCTTTTATATATTTTTTCTTCAATGATCACAATACTTCTGATAACTTATATGAATAAATCATCATTTACATATGAATAGATTAATCAGAAAAATTCTATTCATTGTTCTATTAAGTTTAGCATTCGTTGGGAACAATTGAATTTATTTACATATGTCTTCATATTTCTCGACATCAAAAAATCTATATATAAGATGCATACAATGTAAATAAATGGATAGAGCAATGAAATTTTTTTTCCTAATTTAAGGATGATGAGAAAATTTTCAGTCGTGTCAGAACTATGATTTATTTTCCGCTATTGTCAACTAAAAAAACACTCAAATCTCTTACGCCAGATTCTTTTGCAACTCAATGAATATTACTGTAAATTTTCATAGTCATAGTCATAATAATCAGATAGATATAAGATTCATATTGTAGAGAAACTTCGGTTTTACTCTATTGTCTAATTATGTTGAATTAAATTTTTGTAATCGTACTGTGTTTCAAAGTTCTTGAACTTTTTTTTTCTTTTATTTATTGTGTCTCTTTTAATTGCATATTTCATAGAATAGACAAGAACATGTGTTGTTTGATGTAATGCACAATTATTATTCTTGAAAAGAATGACAAACATTTAAGTATGTTTGTAAGAGACTTCTTAATGTTCATAACAAATTTATAGATGTTCGATAAATATCAAATTAATCTTTGTTTTTTTTTTTTTCATATGAAAAAGAACTCTGTATAGGATGAGTTTATAAATTTACCTTATAATTAAGGCTAGAAATATGAGAATTTACGATAAACTATTTTCCGCAGTCGAAGATCCTATTTCAAGAAACAATGTGCCGGATGTAATAGAGGATTCTCTTTCATTAATTAATATATCGAAAAATAGAATTTCAATTCATATATTTATATCAAAATATGTTTAGCTTTCAGGATTGTGACCTGAGAAATCTTAAGAAATTGAAGTTAACGTTATTTTTTAAGTTTTTTAAAATCCTAATTATAAAACTGTATAAACTTGAACATGTAATAAAAAGAAAAACATTTTTTCATTATTTATAATGTCGACAAGTCTTTAGGAGAAAATTGCAGGAAATGCAGCAACCGCTCGCTTTATTTAGGACCTCCTACTCTTTAAGCAGGTACTCTTAACAATCTTCTGTGACCTGTAAATTATCGTATTATTGTTTATTTAAACCACTATTTGGATTTGCATATTTTTGACTAGTACTCTATTTTATTCAAATACAAATGAATCATTATTTTGTTAATATCGAAATGTACAATTTAGAGTTTCTTTTTTTTGTCTAATGAAAAAGTTGAACTAATAATAATATACAAGTTATTATAGTGAAGACAACATATGACGAGATCTGAAAAAATGAATTGCGCCTTTGAAGCATAATCATACATTTAAGATAAAAAACATAGTATAATGTCAAAGAGTATATGTAGATGTTTAGTTTGTTCTTATGTTGTTCTATTTTATTGGCCAATTGAATATCATAGAATTAGGCTTAGAAAAATTTCATAAAACATGCAATTATAGATCTTTAAAAATAAATGAATGTAATATCATGTTTCACAACAAAATTATATTTAAAAGAAAAACAAAACCACTATTGATAGACATTATGTAATATTAAATATATATTGATTTATTTAGTATTTTCTGTTTTAACATAAATAGAAGAAGAAAAAAGAATTATCATGTGTTAATCACACTTGAAATAAGTTCGAGTGTTAAACTTGATTTTTGTTTTTTTATAAAACAAAATTTTGTTGTTGTAAATTAATTCGATTGGCAAGTTGAATATATGTTGATCGTTGAGATTGTCTATTAATTGAATTATGAAATAATAATGGTGAGCGACATTTATCTAAGATAATAATTTGTGGCTCCATTTTTCGTCTATATCGATTTCGTTTTTTAAAATCAAAACATGATCGAAATAAATAACGAAATAATAATAATATTTCACGACGAAAACGAAGATTTGTAAATATATATGCATAAAAATTAACTGAATGACTAACATGACGTAAAATATATGTTATTTCAGAACAATTATATAATGTTTCATCAACATCTTCTAAAATAATCATAAGAAAATAGAAAATTAAATATGGTAAATAAAATAATGCGTATGTCATTGATATAATAACTAATGTTGAACGTGTTGAACGATAATTGACAAAATCTGTACGATGTATTTTTTTATTACGAGTTTGTGTTGAATAAATACGTTTTATAAAACATACCATTGTTATATTAACAATTACTATTAATATAGATGGTAATGCAAGATTTAAAACACCAGCAACAAGTATATTAAGTAATAACATTAAACGATCATCAGCATATTCCGAACGTATTGTACAAAGTGTATGATGATGAAAAAAATTCATATTTTTCTCTGTAGTATTTTTATTATTATTATTATTATATATTGTTTCATTAATTTGATATTTTCGTTCTTGATCATATTCTAATACAATAAATGAATAACTATTTGCTATTGAAAATACAATAATAAGAATTGTAAAAAGAATTATATTAGATTTTATTGTATTAAATTGACGAAATATATTTATAAAGCGTATAAATGTAAAACATGTTATAAGCCATGAACAAAGTGCAGCACATAAACGATTAATCATATATGAACAAAAACATGAAAATGCTGATATATGCATTAAAGAAAAAAATTCAATTTTTTTTATTTCATAAAGATAAGATAATAATGTATCAATAACCCAATAGAGTAATAAACATGTGTCTATGATAGAAAAGAACAACAATGAAATATTTCATGTATTGTATTTTTCAAAGATTAAAATATGATCAATTAACAAACAAAACAAAATCCTTTTTTTTTTTTTATAGGTTTAGAAAATGCTTCGAATCATACAAAAACAAACTGAATTATATTGATTTTTGATAAAGATATTTTTGTAATCGTCAAAACAGTACAGCCCATTTACTTGTTATCTTAATTTGAAAAATATATGTTAACTCTTTTACCTCATTAGTTATAGTATGTTACTGTGACACGACGAATACAGTAATCAAATATTAATTTGCTTCATTAATTCTGGTTCTCTAAGGATAATAGAATCTCATCTTCTACTACTTATTAAAAAATTTTGAATCCCAAAACAACAAAATGATATAAGAAGATTAAAATGTGCGACAAGAAAAAAGAAACTTTCGAAAAAGTCAGTTAAAGTAATTATTTACATATTCGTCATTTATTTTCCTTTAAATAGTTCATGAAAATATTTCAATATCATGTCTATTTATAAATGAAGAATAATCCAACTATAATTAAGTTTATTGGTGTATAAAAATTATTACTTCCATACTTTTCATAAATATTTTTCTCAAATAGAACCTATATTTGACAATCTACTCTAAGAAATTGACTCATTCGAATAATAAAATTTTAATATATATGAACATAATCAATCATCGTCAAATCATTCTTCCGTATTTAAAACATTTCATATGCCTATTATAATTCAATATTGTGAATTATAATTTTAAAAAAAGATTCATAAATCTATTTGATTTCTTTTGTTTTTGTTGTTTTAATAACTTACCTAAAATAGATATTTCAATAAGATAAAGATGAAATCCTTTTGGTTGAAAATTAATTGTACGATGACAAAGTGCTTTTATACCAACAATTATTGTTAAAATATTTCCCGGTAATCCAAATAAACAACAAATAATTGCCATTATTCGACGAAATAAATTTAAAGGTTCATTCGACAACATTTTTAATCTAATACATTCTGGTCCAGTATAATGTTTATCTTTTTCATTATTTATAATAAAAAGAAAAAAAAAAAATCTGAAATATGATCAATCTATATGTAATTAATATGTATAGATGGAAAAAAAAAACCATCATAACTATCAAGAGACTTTTAGTTTCTAATAATAAAGATCATGCAAACAAGGTCTATAATTGATAATAATATTAAAAGAATAACACCAAAGAAAATCTAACAAGAAATGTAGCAAATGCATGGAATAAAAAAAAGAAGTCATAGAAAAGAAAAAACAGAAAACATAATGACATTTTGTCGAAAGAAATACTTTACATTCTAAGTGATGCTTCTTAGGTTAACTCTTTTCGGTTATATTCACTATAATAAAGAAAAATCAACACCATGAAAACATATATCATAGAGTAAAATGAATTTCTTACATCTAGATATATAAAATATAACTTATCTGAACAAGGAAGTATGGGGTGTATTCTCATACATCTTTTTCATGCACAAACTTCGCCCATATAGCAACAAGAAATCATACATATTATATTGTAACGAAAATACACATATCATTAGGAAAAAAAAGTGAAGCCTCAAGAAAAAACAAAATACGCATTAAACTGTAAGGTCAATCTAAGATTTCTTAGACGATTCAGAAAAAAAGAATGAGAAGATAAAGGAATAGTAGTAAAAAGAGAATAAGGACTCTTGTTCAAGGCTAGAATAAAGAATGCCAGAATATATTTATAACCTCAATAATTCAGTTAGGAAGAAAAGCACATACTAAAATAAAGAAGAATTATAGTTGTGGAATAAGTTTATAAATCTTTTGTTTGTTCTGTCTTTAGTTACAATTGCTCTTTTTTTCCCATTTAATAATAGAGAGGATTATGATAATAATCATAAATCTATAACAAGTATATCTTATGTTGAAAGAAGTTATTCGACATAGATTAATTTATTATTAGAATAATTTGAATCATTTTCACACTGAGCTTATTCTTCAATTAATAATTCCTGTAGATTTGAAATTTCATTATTCATTGCATCATATCAATAATGACTAATTCAAATCATATACTTATTTATAACTTACAGATTATTTTGATTAAATTTCCATTAATTATGATAGATGTTTAAAAGTCATCGATATATTATTCGTACCAGAGATAAGCCACATTTTTACTTAATATTCTTCTTATTCGATTTCTTTCGATCGCATCTCATCTAATAATTTATAGTTTGCATGATAAGATTGACTGGGTGAATCGTCTGTAGAATTAGTGTGTCAGTTTTATGCTTTAAATTATTGTGAACAAAAAACAAACAACATCGTAATTTCGATGATATATAAATAGAAAAATCAATATTTCTCTACGAAAACTAATATTGAATTAAGTAGAGAACAACTCAAATTTACATATTAACGTAGATTTTCGAATGAAAATAAAAATCTTTTTCTTTTGTTATTCTAAAATATTTTCAAGTAGCATAGCAATCTTCTCTCACATTGTACTTGTCTATAGATGTTTGTCACAAACATATGTATGATTCGTTATTTTTAGATATTGATATGTACTTGTCATGCGTATTTATGCAAGGCCTAGAATTTAAATGAACATATCAACAGGTTACCGAGACCTAATTGTCAGATGATTGGCACTTCGAAAAGTTGTAATTACGAAAATTAATATGGAAATTATTGTTTATTGACTTAAAAATTTTTACTATATTGTACGTGAATATGCTTGTTCATGCAAGAATTTGATCTTTTTTTCTTCGGCATCTCATTATTTATTTGTCGTTAAAATGAATTTACTTACCCATAGACATGTAGTATTATCATTCAACATTTTTTTAGAATAAACTTCTCCAGTGAATAGTGTACTTATGCGTACTTGCATTTGAAGATTTTTGTAGGACCAAAAAGAACTAAGAAATCATAATAAAACTTAATGAGTTTTCATGTTTTAATGAAAACTATGAGCTGTTGTCTTTTATTCTTCAATCTACTGACATCTGTAAATAAAAAAAAAAAAAAAGAGCAGTTAGAATAGAAGCAGAATTTTATCCTCTGCGAAAGTATGTTTGAAATTTTTGCGAGGCTCATTGGTTACGGATTATGAATGAATCTTTGAAAGACTTGAAAATAAAGTTCGCACAAAATCTGATTGTATACCATTTGGAATGAATTGTGACTAGTTTCTTATTGTCGTCAAAAGGAGCCGAAATTAGTTTACGAGGGAACCTCTCCAAGTGTCAAATCATTTTTTGATCAACTTATATTGTCAGAAAGGAAAAACTAGAGAAGCTAAAATTTGCATTTTCTTTTCATCAGCACCTAGACAATATGTGCCTTTTATAGCAATGCTTTCCTCATCAAATAGTCTTCTACAAAAAGTAAGCTAAGAACTCTAAGCCTCGTAGCAATTTCTTAATTCATAATCTATGAGTCTCACCAAAATTCTTTTTCTAATTCATTCCTCTAAATTTTCTATTAACTCCTGTAATCGATCGATAAATGAAAGAATATATTGTCCAAAAACTTTTATATCAAACTAAATACTCTTTGATTTTTTTTCTTTTTTTGATTAGAACTAAATCTGATACTTTCAAAAAATTTCTAATCATGCAATTAGTATACTGTCGATAACTAAATTTTACTAATTTATTTAATTTTTACTGGATAGATAACAAAGAAATTTAGTACCCAAGAAAAAATCCTAAATTCTCATATATAATACATTATTATGTGATAATAATGAAAAGTAATTAAAAAAATAATAACAACGGTATTTTCTTTTTCATGTATAATTAATTAAATATTTAATAATTACTACGTAGAATAACGGCAATAAAAAGCAACAGAAACATGTCCACTCATTTTTATACGTGACTTAGTATTTCTTAAAAATGATTATCGACAACATCAATTTCTACTTTTAGTCACAACTGAATATCGTTACTAAATCTCTAATGAGGTACATAAACAATAATAATTATTCAAATGATCATTGTGCATACAAAAATTATAATTATTCAAATGATCATTGTGCCTACAAAAATTATAATTAATAATCATTATATTTAGATTTTTGTCTTTAATTCAGTGTGTAATATTCTCTTGAGAATTCATATGACGAAGTCTGTTAAAAATAAATATGTAAAAAGAATGATGAAAGAAAATAAAAACAAAGAAGAACTATATGAGATTGATTTTAATCATTTACATATCTTCAGATATTCACTTCAAAGAAGGTTTCATTTTCTTTTCTTAACTTTAAATGAAAATTTTAAATGATAATACTAGTGAATTTCTATTGATTAATATATGTTACAAAATGATGATGAATTAAGATATAGATCATACAAGAATGACTATAAACTAAAGTTACTAAAAAGAAAAAGACCAGAACAAAATAAAGATTCATAATTATGTAATTACCTTTTATCAAAACTTCAATAATATCAAAGCATTGAAGAAAAAAAAAAGTACTTTAACGTAAGGATATTTATAATTATAATGAAATAATGTTGAAGACCGTCTAAAGAAATACTAGTCGACACTAAAGATATGACTATGATACAAAAAACTGATCCTATTTTGAAACAAGAAAAACAGATTTGCTTCTTTGGCTCAGTTTTTTTTTTCCTTGCATAATCGTTCTTTTTTTAGTCTATTTATGGATAGTTGAAAATGATGAGCAACACACTTGATAATCCATTACTTGAAAGCAATTATAATTTGTAATTAATTTATAAATTTAAGTTACTATTAAGGACAAAAAAAAAAGACAACGAGTTTCTCCTTTTTTTCTTTCTTCGCGTTTAATCATCACTTGACAAAACAATAGAGTATTGAAAATAACAATATAAATGGAAAGAAAATGTTTTCTTTTTGAAATCTTAACTGTTCTTTGTTGATTTTTGTTAAACAGACTCAAAATATTTCCTTTTGCTTGATTTGATTTTTTCATTTACTTATTGGCGTTGCCAACCTTGATTGTGTTTGTATGTTTTGATAGAAGAAAAAAAAATATAAGAAAAAAAAAAAAGAAAAAAAGAAAACAGTAACGATGGTAGTATACGATCAATCGCCACTTAATTGTAATACCATTTCTTTACCTTTTCCGGAGTAATAGTAGTAGATGAAGAAGAGAAACTTACTTTCTTTTTTTTTTTTGCTTAGTAATATATAGAAGTTGACTCTGATTTTATTCGTTTGATCGATAAAAGAGAACGATTGTTAAGTTTTCTAATCACTCAGGTTATCGAAGAGTAAGTGTCCATCAATAATTTAAACGAATGAAACCTTATATTTTTAACATTACTTGATGATTTTTCTATTTGAATAATTTGTCAAATAATAATGAAGTTGTTTGATTTGCCTTTTTTTTTTCTTTTTTTAGGTTAGCATGACCGGAAATTAAATCAATTGAACAATTCAAGATATCATGATGTTGTACGCATTAAATCTATTTATTTGAAAAGAAAGAAAATACTCATAATAAAAGATCTCTAAGGCAAAGTGAGATAATCTAAATTATTTCAATCGTGTTGTTTTGTTTTTCAACTGGACACAAATACACAAAAAAAATTTCAATTCTCACAGATTTCTGCACTACATATATATAAATTCTAAATGAATTAATTAATTTTATTTATCTATTTTATTTTTTTTCTTAGTAATCCAGTTGAGCAAGATATAAATTCATTTATTCGTACGTCTCGTGTTCAACGAACTCAATCAATGATGGCAGGTTCAGCAAAAACTACGTCTAGCTATCCAGGATCAACAAATTTTGATACTCAAAGTGAAGTTAATTTTAGTACAACATATCCTTTACGATCCTTATCACCGGAAGATATTCAAAAAATGAAATATAAAATTGATCTTGGTTAGAATGCTTTTGTTTATATATTTTTTTACTTTTAATTAACATCAATTTTGTTTTTAGATAAGCAAGTGGCTGAAAAAAAACAACGTCGTGTTCGTGAATGGGAAACCAAAATTGAACGAGAGAAAAAATATGTAAATAGAGATGCGTTTTTCTTTTTCTTTCTTATTGTTAATTGATTTAAACGAACGATAGCAACATTTTAACAGCCTTGACAATTTTTTTTCTGTTCTGTTTTTACTTAAAACAATTTCTAACAGTAAAAAAAACAACATCATATATAATTCTTTACTCATTCTTAACTACGTATTGTTATTTAAATAAACATGTTTATGTAGGTTCGACATCAACCATTTGGAAAACACGACAACACTACTATTATTAGTAAGAATACCATTTTGTTAATAAAATTACATTAAAAGAATATTATTTAACTAGATCAACAAGATTTAGAAGAGATTTTAACAAAAGGTCGTGCACCTTCACCATCCTTAGATATGCCACAACAATTACCAGTTAATTATCCACAATCACACATATCTAATGAAAATAATATGTATGGTTCATCCCAACAGCCAACATATAATAATTCTCCTCCTTATACAAACTATTCAAATACGCAAACACAACCTCCATATCCAGATAAAAACGATTCTGAAAACAATAATTATAATTTTCAACGTTTTTATGGACCAGTAAGTCATAATGAATTACATTAATTAATAATGCGCATATGTTTAACTTGATAACTATTCTAGAATACAAATGCTAATGAAACTCCAAAACAAGTTTCATCATCAAATGGTACTGCTCAACCCATTAAAGGCGATGCACATGATCCATTTCTTTTATTTGGTAAACGAAAAAAGAAAAGCATAAGAGAATAATAGAAAATCATTTTATTTCTTTTACTCTATAGATCCAAATAAAGAAGGTCAAAATGTCTTTAATATTATTCCTCAACAAGATTTATATGATCCATGGGGACGACCAGGTGGCGGTGCTCCTTTAATTCATCAACCAACTGGACAAAAATTTACTAGATATTCGGGTAGTTTACAAGATAAATTAGTAAATTATTATTTTATTTTAATATTAAATAATAGAAATATTTCAATATCTATAGAATACAACTGGACCATTAGGTTTTCATCGAAGACAATATTCTGGTAATATTGATGAACAAAAACGTGATCTTGAAGTAGAACAAAGACGTCGACAACATGAACAAATGGAACATCGATCAAATGTAAACATTTCTTTTCTTGTTTTTTTTTTTTTATTTTCTTTCAAGTGTTATTCTTTTCTTATAGGCTGGTGATACTGCTGAATGGATTTCACAACTTGAAAGTAGTCGTTATCCATTAAGATTACATTTACCAACAACACAAACAACTCGAGAAGTAATTTTCTTTTCTATTTTTATTTTATAATCGAATTAATTATTTAATTTGTAAAATTTATTGAATAGTATATTGGTGCACGTGATCGATATCGAGCTGAAGAAAGTCGTTCATTACATAATGATCTTGTTCGACAAGCTGAAGAACGATATCGAAATCAACAAATAAATCGATATCAAAATAGTATTGCTGAATTACAAGTATACCATTTATTTTTATTGTCAAATGAAATAAAACATAAATTTTATTCTTTTTAGCATACCGAAGCACAAAATAGTTGGTGGGGTAAAAGTGGTGGTGGTGCACCAGCAAGGACAAATCGGCGACATAATGTTCAAAATACATTGGAAAATCCTCGACAAAAATGGGTATAACATATTTTCGTTGTCTTTTGTTGAATTTTTAATATAATCTAATTTTAGACAACAAATCATCTTGGTCAATTAGTAGCAGCTGAAGATGACGGACCAGGTCAATTAAAATATCATGACTCAGATTATTATTATCCAAAAGTAAAAGGTTTTTCCAGTCATCGAAATTATTATCAAATAAAAGATGATGCAAGACCTTGAAACATTAATTTTTGCTTTTTTTTTCTCAACATGAATTCTATACAACATTCAATATAATAAAACATATTTTTAACACAAATTTTTTCATTCATTTTTAAATTTTATAATATAAAATAACATTCAACATAAATCATCAGTTTTCATATGATGCCTTCATTAAATTTGTAGACAACAGATACGTGCATAAGCATACGATACTTGAAAAGAATTTATATCAATTAAGTTAACGAGCTGGTCTAATTCAATGTTTTTAAATTATAAGAAAAAAAAAAAGGAGAAAGATCTATTTACATTTTGGCTAACTTTATTTTTATCTTTGTCGTTAATTAATTTATTAAAAAGTATAGTACTTGTTACGTTTTCATTAAAAAAAATATATATGGGTAAGATAGTCCTGAGATGAGAACCAAAGAGGACTAGCCTCGTTCATGATTAAGGGTGTCCCATAGATATCTTTATGATAAAAAATTTCAAAATGTCGTCTTGGTTTAATGACAATAGTCTGATTTTTTTTTACTGATGATAGAGAAATCTTCAAAGTTTTAACTCATAAACAAAACGTTAAGAGTTATTATTTTCAACTGTCACTATCGCCTATAATAAAAACTTATGGAGTTTTTAGTTTTTAATAAAATATTATTTAAAGTCTTTTCGAAAATTTAGTCTCAGAGGACAAAAATATAATCTTCTTATCAAATTTCTATATTCTATCCAAGAATAGGCTACTATTCTACCATTTAACATTATTATGTATATATTTAATATATTCTTTATATAAAAGCTGAAAATCATCAGATCAGAAAAAGAATATTCTTGTTATTCATTATATATGTTTTTCTTGTACTGTTTTCAATCATCTGCATTTTTCGACATAAAATCATATCAATAGACTGTCGAATGGAAATAATGAAGTATGCAGATTTATCTTTTGATAATTTTCAGCATATGAATACAATTGTTCAAAACGTTTAAAACTATTTTGATAAGATTGTTGTGATGAATGGATTGAACTAATAGATGATGGTCATATTGTTAATCGTTGTACTTGATCAGATGATGTATCTGAATACTAGTTGTCCGATTATTTAAATATGTTAAACATCTCTCAATGTAAAGGATTGTTTAAAAAATCCTTTTCTTTTGGTTTTTAAATAAGGATTTAAATTATTTTTTTCTGAATCATCAAAATCTTGTTGAGGAAACCGCTTGTATCGATTACTTTCATGTCTGCTACTTGTTTAAGATCATATCGATAGATACGATTGGATGAATTATAAAAGAACATTTAGGTGGCTACACTCAAAAAGGATTTCTAAACGATGTAACTACATAATCATTGTAGTCATTTATTAGAACATTGTAAAGATTTTATTGTCATAGTGATCACATATTGAATAAGATTGAACTATTTTAAGGCTTGTAAAAAGCAGTATAAGCGATAAGTCGAGTTACTTATTGAACCGAAAATCAAGTGGCGTTTATGGATACTCTAACTTCATATCCATTGATCGATTTCAAAGAGTCCGATCGATTACTATTTTTATTTACACTGTTTCAGTACAGTAGCACTTATGCCACGTAATGCAGTTAATAGTGTACTCGGTCTTATGTATATATGAGGAATGTCATTAAACTGAATCAATACTCTGCTTTTATTTATTGGCTAAAGGAAAGTTTCGAAATGTTCGCATAATAAAAAGTTCTGATTGCTATCAGTAGCGAGGTGTAACTGAAATGTAAGAAATTTTGATGACAAAATCAGAACAAAATTGATTGAAATAGCACTATTTAATTCTCACTCAAATTTGATTTTTCAGCATTAAAGATAGATTTTAATTGATTCTAATCTTTTTTGATCGATTGATATAGTTTTATTGACACATTTTATTCAACAGTATTTTATCAAGAAAAATAAATACAATTCTATATTGGGATGTTATTGTGGATATGGAAGTGAACGTGAAAGTAGAGAAGTTAAATACCGACATCTACAACTATCATATCTCGAACGACAACAGTTATGAACACAAATACTTTTAGGATGTTGTTAATTAATTTAAATACTCACAAATCAAATAAACTTGTGTTTTATTGACGACGAATAACTTAAGAGAATAATATTAGAGTTTAAGTTTCACTTCTAACTTAATGGTTAATGACGACAGAGTGGAACATTTTTCTCATAAGCGAGACCAAAACAAAATATATAATTCTATTCAAAGTTGTTATTACAAACAGAAAATATACTTATTTTCTGTCAGATACTAATATTACTTTAAGTTGTGCTGGGTTCACTGAGGTACATGAAATCTCACGTGTTACATAAGATGCTTGGTTTTTCAGTACTGTTATAAAGCAATATTCATAATTGGTTGAATTATCAATTTCAAAAGAATAGAATTGTGTTCATTTAGAATATTTTATTTTAGAAAAATAACGAAAAAAAAAAAAAATCTTATTCTCTATATAGTTTCGTGTCTTTGATTGCGAAGAGATCTTTTTTTTGCTTAATCACAATCTAATATCATATGTTCATCGGGATGTTCTAACCAATGAAGAATTGAAGAAAGTTCATCTTCTAATATTTCATTTGATTTTTTTTCAATAATTTCATCATATGAAATCGATAGCAATTGACGTGCTTTTTCTTTAATTTCATTTGAACAACCATCATTAACAAGAAAT